ACAAAAAATGTCAGTTTTCGGGACGAGGAAGATAGTTGCTGGACGACGCGTTAGCGGAGGCCAGCAACCTTCCGAGTCCCGAAAACGCATTTTTTGTACGAATAAAACATAAAATTTTTTCTCCAACCCCCTTTACTTCAAATTATATTCGAATTTAGATTCAGTCACAGTTTCACTACTAGTAGGTATACGAACTTCTGCTTTCTTGTCCTCACGTGTCATGCCACTCTAGTTTTTAGGTTAACTTATGACCTATTCGTTCTTACTTCTTACTTCTCACCTCTCGCGACTTTGTAGGGAGCAAATCTTGAGGTAGCATGTTCTACCGTTTCTATAATCTCTGGCGGAGTGCAATCCATGTCGCTTCAGTTTCAAAGTCATTTTATTGTATACACAATAAATTGTTATTATTTTGTATTGAAATAAAAACTACCACACAGTTTTTTTAATAAATTAATATGCAAATTAACTTTTCAAAATTTTGAAATTCAAAATGACAGAGCATAATAGTGCAATGGTCCTGAAGTAGATGGCGTTACGCGCGACGGCGGGTTGTATAGTATTAAATACGTTCACAGAATAATGAAATTACGTTACCACATGGTTTAAATAAAAAAATAGCGAGCAGAGATAAATTCATTTCAATACATGTATGTCATACGTATGGTAACATTCATATATTTGCCATGAATATGCAAAAAATATTTGATTTTATGTATAGAAATATAATCTACAACCTGCCAATGTAAACGATGTCCCAATTGACTATCTTCCGTGATTGTAATTTTTTTAATTGGCACTTTTCAAGCGTCAATTTCTTTCTTGGTACTAGGACCAAAAGTATCCACTTTTTTGTACAGTGCCCATGGTGAAACGTAAAAAAGAGACATTTTGTTGCATTGTTCAGTAATATTCAATACCGAAAAATTAATAATATATTAATTAGTGTGTCTTATCTGAGTATATTCATTGCTGAATATCCTTAGAATATGCATAGAATGAACGTTTACATCACTAGAACATTTTTATGGACATTGGAATATGCACATTACCCTCTAGCGTGTTAAAAGAATATTTCTAAGGGAATATCCAATGCTTGTTGGGAAAGTGGATTATCGAGTTGAATGAAAACAATGACCCTTTGAACTCCGTAGGAACGAACGGAATTTGTAAATACACAATTGAGGGCGAACAAGTAGGTACTCCTGTGCGCTTTTGCGCCTAACGGCGAGAATTACGTTCGAGTATCTCCTGAGAGCATTCAAGCGTTGAAGCAGCAATTCTGATTGGGCGCAGTGAAGAAGGACTGCAATGGGTAGCGAGATTGCAATACCTTGACCGAAAATAGAGAGGTGGTCGATCTGCCCATCTCGCTCCTCTGTCTCCACGGAGGAGGGATAAGTCCCTAAGTCCCTCCAAGCGTCGCAAGGGCAGAGTTGATCCCGACACTCCTACATCAGAGGTCGAATAACCGGATTCATACTGAATTGCCTTATGAATGCCGAGACTTAAGCCTTAGAAACTGAACACCGAACAACCCTCCAAAGATCAGTTTCTAAAACATTCCGGACCTTGGCACGAGTCATAGTTTGGAGGCAGCACCTCCACGTAGGTTCCGCGGATATATAATAAAAAGATAAGAATAAAGAAGGGAACAAGTGTTGGGTAAGGATTACATCCTAATAGAGCCTAGAAAGCGAAATCGTGTTTGCTGCCCAGGGCACTTGAATATCAACGTGGATTAGATTCAAGAAAAGCGCGGGGTAAATTCTCTTAACGTGAGGAGGGGGGGGGTTGGGGGCGTCGATCCCCCTATGGTAGCACTAAGGTAACCGATAATGAGAGCTGTACTTTTCCGTAGTCTATAGGCTTACGGAACATCATGGTCGAAGGGTCTCTAGTTCCCGTTGGCGTGCACGGGGGCAACTGACCCCCAAGACCCCCCCAGGTTGGGGATAGTTATGACTCTCAATCAAAGTAACCAAAATTGCCTGTCATCTAATTATTGACGCGCATTAATGGATTTAACGTAACTGCCCCTACCTGACTATCCAGCGAAACCGCAATTCAGGGAACGGACTTGGAAAAATTAGCAGTTGCCAACGTTAATCGTGTACACGTGGACCACTACGATAAGATGAATTTCACGTCTTAGTCTCGTGGTTCAATTGCCCTACGCCCCCATTACCGCTTTTTTCTAAGAGAGTCATAGTTACTCCCGCCAGGCGAGTTGTAGCGTGGATGAAGGCATCCACACAAGTACAGGGAAGGTGTAAGGCGCGTCTGACGGGGACACGCACGAGGCGATCCGCACTCTTCAACTCCCTACTTTGGTACACGCCAGATCACTTTGTATCTCTGGAATCAGATAGTGCTTAATGTGAACCAGCTGGTTTTAGTCTGACCTTTCCTATTCTCACCAATCCCTCCTTCCACGAAGCTTTCTGGATTTCAGATTTCTGGCCCAGCCCTGCCTTGGTCAGAATACTTGCCCCTCCCCTCCTCCCATGTACTTGAACAGCTCGCAAAATGGACCCTACATTTCCTAGGACGGAATTAATGGGGATTTCGAACATGTGCACATAGCAAGTTTACCTTTAACTGGTAGAACTGAAATTGTAAGGTAGGTTTTTAATTGTTAATTAACAAATGAGTAACAATTTTATTTTCATAAGATGATTCCAAATAAATACAGGATGATTAAAATTATTTGCTCGTATTATTAGTCTTACGCTATTATCCTTTACAATTATTACTCACGTCAGTACCCTTGTAATTTCAAACACCCTGTACAAGTTTATTACATGTAATTTGACAACGCGACTATTACGTATACAAAACTAAACTCCTATGATACAGGGCCGCATAACCAGCATTAAAATATATGTCTAAATATTCACCTACGATTATTTGATTTTTATTTATTGCCAATAATTTATGACCACCCTGTCTACTGACGTCTAAAAGGAAAAACAACAGTTTTGCTCCACTTCGTCTTAAACGGGCGAAGTAAGTCGATATGTTAGCTATTTTGATTTCGAATCCGTACAGGGTGGTGCGATTGAACGGGCCACGTTAGAACGTCATTAGAATGAGCGCTTACAACACGAACTAGAAAAAACAATTGACCTAAAACATTGACTAGATTTAACCCAGGAAGATTATGTTCTTTTCGTCTATTAGTCTCCCTCTATTCTAAACATATAATTGTACCGTCGAAAATTTGATTACAGGTTGTTCTCAGAAACTTCTAGCAGACCCAGGAGGTAGGTAGTCATCTTTAGGTTTAAGTCGCTTTGGCATTTACTTGACCTTTTTGTCTGCTTTCAAATCGTCAAGGGAGAAACGTATCTTTCTCTGCTTCTCTTTCAGTTCCATTTGTTTTTCGGCGAGTTCGTTCTTTTTGTTATCGTTCCTCTCTTCGCTTTTACTTCTTTCTTTCCATCTCCTCTCCGTCCACCACTTCCTCTCCTTGTCCTTGCAATCGTAGTCGGATTTTTCCTCCTCGTCGTCTTCTTGCGGTAGTTTCTCGTATTTGTAATCTCTCTTTTTTCCCAGTATTGGAACGGTTTCGAGCTGGGTCACGATTTTTTGAGCGCATCTGGAAGAAACAGTAATTAGTCAATATCTAGGTGTAAGACGTTACAGTGAGATGCTGTAACAGTACAGAAAGTTTACCTGATTCGAGTTGAAGGTGGTGCGCTGCTATGACACGGGCTGCCAGAATAGGGCGACTCCTTTATCGGCGGAAGTCTATTGATATTGCTTCGTTCCGGATGGCAGTACTCCTGAAGCTTGATTTTCATGGCGTGCTGCTGGGATCGTCTCAGCGCGCCCGTTATGGGCTGCCTCGGGTACGCGCCCAAACAGTGACCGCCGCAGCACGAACCGCTACTATCGGAAGCACACGAACTGGACGATACCGATGAACCTCCACTGCTTACGCTGTACAAGCTGTCGGACTGAGGAACGGAAGATGAACGCGAATTGACTGAGTATCCGCTCGCTGAGGTTGGAAGAATGGGACCGGTCTGCGAAGAAAAGTCGGATTAATCGCTGGTGGCGTCGCCGTCGTGTGTGCGTACCTTAAGCCTAAGAATTTTCGCGCGACAGATAACGCATCGCAACGGTAGGAGACGCTGAGAGACCGCGATTTGAATTGTTTTAACGAAGCATTTTCGACAGACCACCTGGTGACCGCAGGGTGCAGTTTGCATCGTCGCCTTGGCGTTGATGCAAATCACGCATTCTTCCTCGGGGCATGTCGCGAGCTCTGGTTCGCTTTCTTCTAGTTTATTTAGGAGCTTGTCCTGAAACAAATTACCAAATTTCAAATACTTTATGAGATGGTAATGTCTGTCTGTACATCCACTCCAATTTTATTCTATTAAAATTTTTCCACGTCCGAAACCCTGGTCAAAAGTTATGGTCCTTTGCCAAATAAATTGGATGAACTGTTCCAAATTCGAGTGTAGAATCGTTCACTACTTCCGGAGACAGAACGCCATTGTGGCAGGACAAGTTGCACGCCTGCCGCATAATAAATGACTTGGTGCAACTGCACAACCGTGACCTGCACTCGTTTTCATTGCGACGAGAAAAAAATGTAACATCGACATTGCGCGTAAGGTTATATATCGTAATTGTAGCTGTTCCTTGACATTTTACGAGTATAAAAGACTTGTTGCACATCCCATTGTAACCGGCCCAATAAAGTAATCGCACTAAAGATGGTACCATCCTTGAACTATTGAATGGACTGCATGACGATCGGTTCTGCGTACCTACTAATCATCAATCGATGTATTTCGGAAACTTGAATTCAATCGCAATTTTGTAAAAAGAAAATTTATAAACAGTATTTCCAGTGTTTGTTCACCTGTTTCGTTGGAGTAACTGACGTAACGCTGTGTCATGTAAAAAGTTAGGTGGTAAAAAAACAAAACAAGTTAAAAAGTAATCATAAACGATTTACAAAAAGCGCATTTCCACTTGCATTCATTTCCCATTTGTAAGATGCAACTTTTGTTAAAATCGTAAAAATCCGGCCACAAATATGAAAGATAGCGTTGCACTTCAATTTCAGTTTATGAGAAGAATTTCATTTCAATGCTTTTCTAAATAAGAAAGTTGGAACTGCGCATGCGCAAACCTAAATTTTAAAACTAATGTTAGATTTTTCTTTGTTCCAAGCGCCTAAGTATCAAATTTCACTTAAATAGTTCCATAGATAAAAAAGTTGGCACTGCGCATGCGCAAAATAAAATTTTGAAACTGGCACTAGATTTTCCTTTATTCCAAGTGCCTATGTATCACATTTCATTTAAATTCTTCCATAAATAAAAAAGTTGGCACTGCGCATGCGCAAAACCAAATTTTTAAATTGGCGTTTGATTTTCCTTTATTCCAAGTGCCTATGTATCAAATTTCATTCAAATACTTTTATAAGTAAAAAAGTTTGCAATTCGGTTTATAAATGGTCGAGGTGCGAAAAGGGCACTGTGAATTTTGGCGTTGCGTATTATATGGCTAAAGCTATGCCCATATTGAATTTCATGCAATTCAGTTCATAACTAACGGAGATGTAAAAGTGATCGAACATTTCTAAATAAAGTTATCGTTCACACGGACAGATAGATGGACAGACAGACAAAGGAACAGACGGACAGACCAACAGGCAGACGACAAATAGCAATGCAAAATTATAAACGATCTCTAGGATCGTAATAAACGCAAAGTTGTAAAATTATGGAACATGTAAAAAACCGGTTTTTTGTTTTTTTTACATAACTTTTGTTTTGTAAGCGAGTACAGAAAAAAATTCCTTCCTTGGTACAAGACTCGACACCATAACGAACCAAATAGCGAAAAAAGTAGAACAATAGCTCTTAAGATAAAAAACTAGTAGCGTCGCAAAGTTAGCGGGCGGACGGACGGACGGACGGACGGACGGACAAAGTGGCCACAATAGCGCATTTTTTTTTATTTTTGTGGAAATGCGCTAAAAAGTTGGCACTGCGCATGCGCAAAACCAAATTTTGAAATTGGTGTTAGATCTTCATTTATTCCAAGTGCCTATGTATCAAATTTCATTCAAATACTTTATAAATAAAAAAGTTTGCAATTCGGTTTATAAATGGTCGAGATGCGAAAAGGGCACTGTGAATTTTGAATCTATTCGACTCAACTTTTGGCATTGCGTATTATATGGCTAAAGCTATGCCCATATTGAATTTTATGCAATTCAGTTAATAACTAACGGAGATATCAAAGCGATCGGACATTTCTAAACAAAGTTATTGCTCACACGGACAGATAGAGGGACAGACAGACAAAAGAACAGACGGACAGACCAACAGACAGACGACAGACAGAAATACAAAATTATAAACGATCTCTAGGAAACGTGGGTTTCTTCTTTAATATTGTGATCTGTAACCACAGCATCTAGAATAGAGCTAACGGCTTTAATTCGGATATGTTCTTACAACCCCTAAAAGGAAGAGCGAATATATTCTGACTAAACTCATTGATTAACTTTTTCACCTCATAGGACCGTGATAAGGGCTTTAAAAAACGGACACTATTAAAAATAGTACGCAGACCTCAAGAAGATAAAACAAGTAAAAAGGTTTTCGCCCTAAGTCGAGTAACTTCAGCGCATTTTCCATGAAGTGATCAGTACTTCTCAAAAGGTCATAGATATGTGCGCTATTTTTTCTCTACTAGAGGTATCTATGGTTAAACTTTCAATAAGAACGTTGACATTGCGCAGTTCGCGCATGCGCACATTTAATTTTTGTTTGTTTTTTACTAGAAGCGTCTATGGTTAAAATGTCAAAGAAACACCTTAGTAGCGTTAGTAAGGAAGTTGGCACTGCGCAGGATTCGGATAGATTACGCATGCGCACATCTAATGTTTACAATATGAGATATGTGTGCCTTTACCAGAAGCATCTGTGATGAAAATTTCAAAAAGATATTTTGATAAATAAGACACTTGATATTGCACATCCTGCGCATGCGCACATTCATCTGATGTTGACAATATACGATACGTTTGCTTTTACCAAAAGCATCTTTGGTTAAAATGTCAACAAAATATATTAATAAATAAGAAAGATGATATTACTCGTGCAGATTTTACTTGTCTCAGGTGCCAGAGCTATAAACTACCGAATTCAAAAAGAACGAACTAAATATATTAAAAACTGAATTAGTAGTAAAGGCTTCGGGTGTTGGAAAATGCCCTAAAAAAAGTAGAGCTTTCCTGCTTACCACCCTCTTGTTTTACGCAGTCTATGAAAGAAAATGGTATGT